TTGAGATTCATGGGTCTTACCCAAAGAATGTAACTTACTAGTAATATGAATTTTTAACAAGGTCCCTAGGAATTCTAATGGAGATAGTCCACAAATTCCAGTGCTTTGGGTTATTGGTAAAATGCCCAGGCTTTAGAGTGTGGTAGAACTGGGTTGAAAATAGAATTCTAGTTCTTTCCATCTTCATGCTCTTGACCAAGTTATCTAACCTCTTTAAGCCTGTTTTCCTCATCTATAAATGAGGGGGTAATGATACTTACATACCCTATTATGAGACTTAAATAAAAGAAATGCTTATACAGTCCTTAAAGGTTCTTGACCCCTAGTAATAACTCAGCAAAATTATTGTCAGTCCTCATAGACTTGTGGAATTTGAATAAATAAAATAAAATTTCTCCAGATTGTTATTACTAAAGATTATTTTTAAAGCACCCACAGCTCCTTTCAGTTCACGCTACAGTAGCAAGCTAATTACTTAGTGTCAGCTAAAAGGAAAGCATGTTTAATTATCCCCTCATTTAGAGCAGAAAAATTTAAGTTAGTTCCAGCACTTAATTATATTATTATACAGTGGTTGGATAGTACAAACTCTAAAAGTATAAGATAGTATATTAAAGTTTCTCTAATTAAAATTCCAACATTATAGTGCAACCTTCTTCCTTCTATCTAGGTTTATAGATGTATATACCTGGGATTATATTTTCTTTTTCTTTTCTTAAAAATACTTATGGAGGCCCTCCCTGGTGGCGCAGCGGGTTAATGCACTGCAAACGAAGCTTACGCCACTTCTGCATGAGTTCGATGCCCGCCTGCCCTGGAGGTGACCGCATGGCGCGGCAGACCTCCCCTGGCCCACCCGCTGCTCCCCTCAGCAGTGTACTTCGTCAATCTGCCTGTTCTGTCTCTGGTGAATCCTCTCACCCGCCGCATCTCTGGCCGGTACCCCAGTTCTGTTTGAATAAATAAATAAATCTTTTTTAAAAATACTTATGGAAAACTCCTTTTTAAAGATTTCCTCAATTGTTTTTTTTTTCCTGAAGAAGGCAGTCCAGTATTTATTTTCTAATCCAAAAATTAGCAAGAACTTGGCATCAAGATATAGCCCTCAAACGAGAAACCTGACTTTTTTTCAGTAGTAGATTTTAAAGTGAGATGTAAGAAGGGTAGAAGATAGTTTGGTGGGCTTCAGAAGCAACTGAAAAGTTCATGGGAAGTTGATCTGAAATTATTAGGACTCTCTTAAATATGGAATGAAAAGGTCACAAGGGATATAACACAAATTTATAGTTATGAATGATAATATATTGTGAATGCAAACGTTTTTCGTAAATTATAAATGATGTACTCTTTGATCTATCAATAATTAAGAATTAATCTCATGTGTCTTATGTTGTCATTTGTAAACACACAAGACTGTAAGCAACCTAAACAGAGTAGATTGGTTATATAAAGTACAGATACACAAGAGAATGCCATGCTGATATTAAAAAGACTACTTTTTGCCCATTGTTATTTGAGTATTTCTTACCTTCTGAATCACAAGCTATTCCAGCATGTACATTCTGTGCACAAACCCCAGAAGTGGACTTCTCATCCTAGGAAAATTCCGATTTCTTCTAGGAATGATGGTCAAAACTAGGATGTGAAAGAATAAAGCAGCTCTCTATACTAAAATCATCATCTCCAATATATTACCCTCCGTAGTCTGGGGAAGGCAGACTGGAGACATAAAATTCATAATGGCAGGTGTAGCATGCTGCCATTTGTATAAAAAATACATGTGACTATTCACACAAGAAACGCTTAATACCGTTATCTCTAGGAAGGAGAACCAGGTGGCCAATACTGGAAGATTGTGGTAGATAGTCTTGTGTAATCTTGGAATTCTCTGACATTGTGTACACTTATTGCCAATTGAAAAGATAAGTTAACCACTCACAAAAACTGGAGGCAGTGCTGTTTTCTTCCAGGAAATTGTATTTCCAACAGAACAGACTTCTAATTAGCTAGTTTAATTTGGTTAAATCAACAAGGAAGAGAGTTTGGGTTAACTAAAAGAAGGTCATTGCTACTTAAAGTTGGCACTATCACTGTCGACCCTTGGAAGTTATAGAGAGCAAATGTGGCCTCCATGAGTGTGGTCTTTGTTGTCCCTTCCAGAACAAAGCACTGGCCTCTGTAAGCATGGACTTTGTCCTTTCTTATGTCAAAAGGAAGGTTTCTTGAAACAATGGATGATTATTATAGAATATAAATAAGTTTTTTTTAGTGAGTAGATATAATAGTTAACCTTTTCTCTCCACTTCCTCCCTTTGACATTTTATCTCAAAATAAACCAGTCAGATGATGATGGATGCAACGTTGACATTTTAAATTGAATGGAAGTGTTTATATAGGATCTGGTTCAATAAAAATATGTGAAATCAAATTCCAAGTTGACACAGTAATACATTGGCATCAGTAATCAAATACATTTTATTATCAGGTTATTAAGGTTCGGTAGGATAAGGTTAAGGAAGTAAGGAGGAAAATAATGTGTTGGTTTTCATGGGTTTTTTAAAATAAGAATGGGATCTTTCTAGACTCTTCACCTTTACCCCCCTTGTTTTCCTGAAATTAAATTGAGTGAATTCTGAGCCACACTTTTTAATTGGGACTTCTCTCCTACTGTGTCTTAGTTAATAGGCTCTCCATTGCTACCTCACCCAGCTGTTACATCCTCTAAACCATTTGACCAGCCTGTACTGTCAATTGCTTCTCTTAGTGGGAATCATGCTGATCATCGCAAATGTTGCTTTAATGTGGGTACGGGTAGCTGTCAACTCTAAATTTCATCATTGGTGAAGATCCACTCTGGTTAAGATGCCCTTTGACTTCTGACAAAATGTGAAACTGAAGTCAGAAGCTGTTGCTTACTTTATATTCTCATCCCTATAACACCTCACCTCACCCCAATTGTTTCACCGTGATCCCTTCCATAATGCCATTTTTTTCTGGTTCTTATCACATTGAGTATTGGGACCCTGTAAACATTTAATGGGCTTATGAATCATGTCTCTCTTCACCGTCTCCTTTCCATTTGCCCTTAACCCACACTGTCCAGCTTTGATCCCACCTGGCCACTAAAGCAATTCTTACTGTGAAGCCAGTGTTTGATCTTCAGGCCTAGGTTTATGGGCACATAATCTACATGGTCACACAGATCCTCACACTTAATTTATGCCTGATAATACTGTCCTGAAATTCTTAAAGTCTGTAAGAGTCCCCATAGTTATATTTTGACTCTGGCTTCCAAAAATTATGTAGCCGGTCCTGTTCAAACCTGATCAGAATAAGTCTCTTTAAAGCATTTGACACAGTTCATGACCCTCTTGGACACTTCTTGAATTCCTAGAAACCTCCTGCTTCAAGTATATCTCCTTCCTGTGCTCTCCCCTCAAGGTTAAGTTCTCTCACCTGCTTTATATGTGCTTCCTAAGTGATCCCATCCAGTTTTCAGTCTTGAGTATATTATCCAGGCTGTTACTGCTGCTGCTAACACTAAAACAAAACCACATATCGGAGCTACCTTTGAGTGTTTTCTACAATAATTACGAGTATTATTTCTCTTAATGCTTTCAGTATCTCATTTTGAGGTAAGGGATTATGTCTTCGTCCCTTTGTGGACCTTGTTTGCAGCTTAACAGCCTAGAGCTCAACTGATTTTTCCCCTGATTTTGTCTTCATTAACCCCAGATGATTCAGATGCTGATGTAAATATTTAATACTTTGATAAGCTGTGGTGGAACATCAGTTGTTTTAAAAAGTAGATTGTATGCGACATTAGAGCTTGACACTTAAAAACCTCATTTCAGCTGTTTCACCTGGAAGCAGCATATAGGCTAAGTCCAAATAAATTTTATTTATGACTGAAGAACTTAGGTTTTCAGTCACCTCATATATTTCTTCTAATGGTGAACGAACTGTATTTTGACTCTACAGGTTCTATTTTTTTCTAAGCATTCTACTCTCTTGATTTAGTGATTCTCATTGACCTGGATAATTTGAAGACTACACATATATATAAAATTTGATTTTAGGCTAAGAGTTCAATCTGTCTTCCTTTTGTTCATTTTTATTTACCACTGATTGTTTTTCTTAGGGTCTTAAGCAAATGTCTGGCACACACAAATTTTTTTTATTGAAGTAAATTGTATTATACAAATCTCATGTGTGCACTGAGAATCAGCAAGTATATATCATACTTTTTTTTTAATAATCATAGAATGTCAAAAAAAAACAGGGCAGAAAGAGATCTTAAGATCTCATTATCTAGTTATAAAAGGTATTCCTGGGTCAACTGACATACAGTTAGAAGAGTTAAGGATTGTCAGTGAGGGGCCTCCTTGGTGAAGCAAGGGGTTAAAGCTTAGCACTATGAAGTGATTGGCAGCCACTGCAGCTCAAGTTTCCTCCCCTGCCATGGGGCTGACCCACATGGCACAGCAGACCTCTCCTGGCTCACCCGCTGCTCCCCTCAGCAGTGTACTTCATTGATCTGCCTACTCTGCTCCTCACTCTGTCTCTGGTGAAGCCTTTCATCGCCCTTGCACCTCTGGCCTGTACCCCAGTTCTGTATGCATAAATAAATAAATCTTTTGTCATCTCATTCGGCCCTCTCAGGAAAATCATTCAGTCCTTGTGGCAAGGGTTAACTTATACTCTGTACTCTGTTATACTCTGCGTCCTTCTGTTCGTAAATACCTAGTTATTGAATTCTAACCAAATACGGGGTCACTTTTCTTTCTCTGTGCTTACATAAGACACAGTCAACTTGCATATTAGTGACATAACACTGGGTTTCTTTGAAAGTGCTTTTTGTCAGTACTTGGTCAGCCTTACACCCGCCAGTCCCTCTGTGGCCTGGACTTCTTGTTATTAAATATGTTGCCCATTGTAATGAGACATCCCTGTGTTTGCATTTTAACAAACAGTGGTTTTGTTCTTCTCTTTCTTGATAGCTACTGCTTCTTGGGATACATTTCTCATGCTATGGAATTTCAAGCCACCAGCTCGAGCTTTCAGATATGTGGGTCACAAAGATGTTGTCACCAGCGTGCAGTTTTCTCCACTGGGAAACTTACTGGCATCGGCTTCACGAGACAGAACTGTTAGACTCTGGATCCCTGATAAGTAAGAAAAATAAGCACCTGATATGCTCTGGGTTTAGGAAAGAGAAAGTATATGATGAAAGGGGATGAGGCTATTCCCTATGCCTGTCTCTGGAATGCCAACCCTGTCCCCTACGTTGTACTTAGTCGAGACATATGAGGCGGTACTTCCCTCATCATAAGTCAAACCTTTATACCAGCCTTTCCCCTCATCTTTAGCTCCTGATTATGTCTTCTGTTTGAAAACTATTTCTAACCATGGGAATACGCTTAATGTATCTTACGTCTTTTTTGGAGTTGAGGGGAGAGAGTGATTATTGATCACTTAATAAATCTTATGTAAGTTTCAGACTATCTTCCCTAGAGAGATACACATCATCATAAATGACCAAAACTTTGTAGTTTATTTAACCTCCTGACACCCATTCATAGGTCTTAGAAGTGTTTTGGCCTTCATTAAAAACCTCCGTGCTAGCACTAATCTTTGATGTCTAATTAACAGGCTCTAGCATTTTCTGACAAAAGTGTAAATCATTGTATTTATGTAAGGTCCTCTTGTATGCTAACAAATAATCACTTTAAAAAGCTTTTTAAACTCTAGTTGACAGAGCCTCTATTTTAAGCACAACTGTTAAAAGCCTTTAAACTCTTAATTACATAGGCTTTCATAGAAGATATAGCACAACAATTCCCCCCACCACACCTACCCACCAAATTCAGGCTAATCAGTGTTCTGTCATTCTTGTTTCATCTGTTTTCACACCCATCCTTTTATTTTTTGCTGGAATATTGTAAGAATAAACCCAACACATTCTATCATGCTCCCCTTCCCCCCAAATACATCAGAGAATAAGAATGTAATCATTTTTTCTGACTCTGTTGTGACAGGATGGTTTGAGGTGGGCAAATCAATAGCTGAGGTGATTTACTGGACAGGCTCAGGCAGTCCCATATGAAATAAAGCTGCTGTGTTTTCTCCCACCAGCCAAAGGAAGCCCTACTTTAAGAAATCTGAATATTACCCTCTCGGTAGTAAAAACAGAAGCAAAGTGGCTTGTTAACACCATGGATGATCCTACAGAGGGAAATTTAAGGGGGCGAAATTGATTTGGGGTCCAAAAAGGAAAGCTTTTTCAGAAATCCATGGGAACTTAAGGCAAGTGGTTTTACTGTCTTTGGCACAACACAGCCTCAGTCTCCCATTACTAATTCAAGGAAAACTTCAGTGAATAACCTGTATGAGGGTCGGTGAGCTACAAGCAAACTAAACCATGCATTTATGTGGGTTTATCCAAGCACAATGTTTAGACTTGTGCAGATATCGCTAGTTCCTCTTTCTAAATCAGAGGTCAGGAGACTCAAAGCAATAATGTTTTATGGCAATGGAAAGAAAGCTGGAGTATCATTTATCTATTGCTATCTAAACATCTTTAAACTTCAGTAGCTTAGTACAAAGCTAACTTTTCACAATTTATGGGTTGTCTGCGTGAATCTTCTGCCCTGTTTGATGCTGGCTGAGATGCCTGGGGCTCCATAAACTTGGCAGTAGGCCCAGTGCCTCCCTCATACCCAAGACCTTGGTGCTGGCTAGTGGCTGGACATCTGGGAACTCCAAGGGCCCTCTGTCCAGCAGGATAGGAACTTCTTTGTAGCAGAGAATTTGAGTTCTAGAAGAGTACAAACTGAAACTGCTAGACCTTTTGAGGGCTAGATCTGAATCTTGTCACTTCTGTCATGTAGTATTGGTCAAAATAAGTCATAGCACCAGCCAAGATTTAAAGAGAGTAAGAATCAGGAGATACCTCTGGTAGGGAGGAGTACGGTATGTGTGTGCAGGAATGAAGGAAATTGTGGGCAAGTTTTTGCAGTGAGACACCACAGCTAGAGTCTAGAAAGCTAACAAAGAGTAGTAGGAACAAGCATGGAAGCAAGTCTGGAGTTCATCCTAACAGGCAGGTAAGAGAATGTGGGCAGGAAAGGCAAGTAAATATGTGAGACTCGGAGCCTACATTAATGCAAGGTAAGAAACTAGAAACCAGTTAAGCAACAGTCCAATAAACACAAGACACTCCTATCTTGGTTTCTTATACGCTTCCTGCTGAGGCCGGATCCAGTGGTTAACTCAGCCTACAGAGGAGAGGAAGCCTTTGACAGGAGGACACACAAGATCACTGAGGGGCAGAGAACTAAAGACCAGGACAGATTTTGATCATTTTGATCAACACTGTCTCTTGGCTCCCTGGTCATAGAAGATGCCAAGTTTTTTCTTTGTGTGTGTGTGTGTGTGTTTTCTAGGTCGTTTACTTAAATTCAGGCCCAAACCACTCTTGACTGCTACAGGTAGAACTTTTCCTTATTTTATCCCAATATTTTTAAAAATATTGAGGTTAGCTACTCCTGGTACAATATTATACTCCAGCAATGGAATTGATAACAAAGCCACATTTGCCTTACAGGCCACTGGAAGGGTGGGCCCATATGGAGCTAAGGGCCTTGCATTATTAATTTTCTCAATGAAATTCAACAAAATGTACGGAGCTCTTTTTGTTTATCTGACACTGTGTTAGGTATCAGTGTTAGAGAGATGAATTAATCCTCATTCCTGTCCTCAAAAAAAAAAAAAACAACTTACTGTTTAACAGGAGAGAAACAGGCCTGTTTTTTTTTTTTTTTTTTGAAGTACCATATAATATTAAACAAAATAAATGTGGTAGGTAGGGAACAAATACTCCTGTCCAGTTGGTCAAAGGAGTTTGGGGGCAGGGAAATAGTGCAGGCTGAGGAAACAGTAAGAACAGAGGCAGACTCGCTTTTGGAGCAGCGTGATAGCTCCGAGTCTGAAGTTCATTGTGGAGGCAGGAGGCCTGGAAACAAGCTGGGGCGTTGTTCTTTTACCTTGTGGTTAACCAGTGGTATGTTGACACTGGGATTTGCATACATGAAATTACGCTTCTGCCAAGGTAACGAGCACAGTATATAGGCGACAGGAGAGGTAAAAGATTAGAACAGGGAGACCAGGGAAAGGGCTTTTGCAATAATCCAGGTGAAGGATAATTAGGTTATATCTACCTTAATGAAGCTAACTAGGATAGGGAGAGAAGAGGGATTCAAAGGATACCTAGAAGACTGTTACCATATGGTTTGTTGGGTTTGTTAGGTCCCCGGGTGTGGGAGGAGGGAAAAGAAGGGGCATTGTGATTTCTAGGCTTTGCAAATTCTGTTGTCTGATCTTTGTCCAACAGTCGTGGTGATTTCCCCCATCAAGTATCATCTGTCTGTCTTTCTAAATGGAAACATCACTGAGTCTGGATGAAGCATGAAGTGACAGTGTCATGGGATCTTGGGAGCACTGTGCTCCCCAAATGTTGTCTTACACTTCCAGTGCTCTCGAGTCTGACCTATTTTAACATTTTTTACCCTTAAGTGCTGCACATATTTTCTCCCTCTTTTTTTTTTTCTATTCTCCAACTTAGCCAAGAAAAATAGGCAACTGAAATTGCAAGATATTGAGAACAAAACTGTTGCTACCATTAAGTTTGATCTTGCTTGTGAGTGTGAGACTTGGTCTTAAATATCCCGTGGACTCAGGTGTCAGCACAAGGGTGGCAACATGACTAGGACAGTCAGACTGTCAAGGCACATTTTATGTAGAGGAGTGTGACAGGGGACAACTTCCCAGTCCAGACTCCCTCAGGTCCCTTCCGGTGACTCAGGTTGGAAGCTGGCCTTAGAGCCAATGATTTAAGCAATCCTCGCCTGCCTAGGGTGCAGGTTCTTTAGATAGTACATTGCTATTTTCAGAGGAAAACAGGAACTTATGGAGACTTGCTCAAACAGCTGTTTCCCTAGCTTCTACTTAAAGCAAAATACAATTCAGGGTGGAGGCCTCAGGGTCTTTCTTGCTAAACATCAATTGTGACTTTAAGTGACAAAACCAGTCTGAAGCTGTATTGATAAATAGCAGTACAGTGTAGCCTTGTGTTGGTTTTTCCAGAAGTCAAACAGCTTCCTGTTTTCAAAGTCATTATATTGGTTAGATATTGACTACAATTAAATGAGTTAGCAATCTGAAACTTCCTTTCCAGGAAAGGAAAATCCTCAGAATTTAAGGCTCACACCGCTCCAGTTCGAAGTGTGGACTTTTCAGCTGATGGCCAGTTTCTAGCTACAGCTTCTGAAGACAAGTCCATCAAAGTATGGAACATGTATCGCCAGCGCTTCTTTTACTCCCTGTACCGACACACACACTGGGTGCGCTGTGCCAGGTAAGTGCAAAACGATTCCTAGGAAGGTTTCCATATATTTGTCCTGTTCTAGTCCAGGTTTGACTCTCAATACCCACAAAAGGGGACTAAGGGCAAATTCATCCATTCGTTCAGCAAATGTTTATTGTGTGCCTGGGAACACAGTCATGCTGGGAACAATGCACAGAAAACAGTCAGGAATTTCTGCTCACCGAATGCTTGCATTTTAGAGAGGGAACACAGACCACAAACAGGGCAACCATTTGTCAGGCCAGACAGTGGTGTTACCGGAAAAGGGGCAGTTGGATTGGACGGGGGTGCTGCATTTCTCCCCACAGTTTATTTATTTTCTCCATGCACTTAGGGTTTTGGTTTTTCACCAATAAGTAAATTGGAACTAGCATGATATTTGCTAGACCCTGAGTTGCTAGGGACAAAGATTTCAAGTTGTTTTTTCTTTTTTTCAAATATGTTGATGAAGATAAAATACTGAGCATCATTGTAGCTACTTTGGGGGTTCTAGGTTGGTGTTTAGTGACTGCCTGACCAAAAGGGTGACCTTTGAGTCAAAACTTACCAGAGAGCAGGGAGAGAGGCTTGGAGATAGTTGGGGAAGGACTGGCCTGCCTAGAGGAAACAGTGCAAAAGCCCTGACGTGGGAGCCTGTGTGGGGCAGAGGGGCGGATTGGGAAGCTCATGGGGAACAGGGAGCAGAGTGTGGGGAAGGAATGAGGGAGGCTGAAGCCAGGGCGGGATCAGCTCTGACAGAGGCCAGTGAAGAACCATCTCTCTGACTGCCTTAGTGATAGTGTGGCAGGGAGTACACCTGTCAGAAGCAGGGGAAGCTGGAGGGGGGGTTAGGAGGCTATTGCAGTAGTTCGTGTCCTGGCTGTGGTGCACACTGCAAGAAATTGTTGGATTCTGGGCCCTCCCTGGTGGCGCAGGGGGTAAAGATGCAGCACTGCAAGTGAGCCACAGCCGCTTCAATCCAAGTTCGATTCCCCAGCCCCGGAGGTGATCCACATGGCGTGGCAGACCTCTCCTGACCCGCCCACTGCTCCCCTCAGCAGTGTACTTCATCAGTCGGCTGTTCTATTCCCCACTCTGTTTCTGGTGAATCCTCTCACCGCCCCTGCACCTCTGGCGTATACCCCAGTTCTGTATGCATAAATAAATCTTTAAAAAGAAAGAAAGAAAGAAAGAAATAGTTGCATTCTGCATGGAGTTTGAAGTTACAGCTGGAACTATAACCAGGCACAGTCACAACCAGTATGTGCACTACATCTGGAGGTGACAGATACAGAGGAACCAAGAGAACCAAGATTATGACTCCATAATCTTTGGCGATAATCTGTTGGGGCAAGTAGTATTGTAGGTGTTACTGACTTAGCTAACAGCCATGGAACCTTTCTGTGCCTAAGACACATTGCTAAAGTGTTTCAAGTGTGTGTCTTGCTTTCTCCTCACAACTCCCCTGGGACAGAAGGGCTCTTCTTGAACTTTCCTCATTCTCAGGTGAGGAGACCAAGTTTTAGAGTTAGACTCCTCTAGCTGACAGACAGAAACCCAAGGAATTCTTTTTAATCCCCTCAAGGTACATGATTGGCTGATGTACTGCTAACTTTGGAAAGGGAGGCTGGATGGAAGCTGGGATTCCAGTGCTCTCAGATTTCTCTGAGACTCTTTATAGGCGTCCTCTCAAACATCCGGTACAAAGGTCACTGCCAGAGTGAGGCTGAAGTCCTCACAGTTTTGTGACTGGAGAGGAAACGTTTCTCCCAGCTCAGTTTGAAAAGTACTGGGGGTGATTCTGACAGGGGGCCCCGTGCCCATCCCTTTGCCTGGCAGTGAGCTACATGGTTCAGCGAGGCCCCCAACTGAGACCATTTAGCCTATGGTGGGGGGGTCGAACCCACCATATGTTCAAGTTGGGAGAGTGAAGACAGTTCTCACTCTCAGGGTGCTGGTTCAGGTGGGGCCACTGGGGGGAAACTGAACCTTTCAGCTGCCTAGATTTGTGCTCTTAGTCAAAACCCCATGCTAGCTGTCCCGAGTTAGGATGTGGTAGAAATGGGGGCACAAGGCAACTCTTTTTTGCCTGAGATCCATATTCAACTGTTGTAATCTCAAAGGGACATTATTACTCAGGATGTGTTGTTTGATTTTTGGTAATGAGTCTGAAAAATAAAAGCCAATGGTTTTATTACTTCCAAGGTTGCAAGTACTTTTGGCTCTGGCCAGCTCAGTATTATTTCTGTGATGCCGCATAGTTTCATGGTTAGAACATGGACCCTGGACCTAAAAATATAGGGCCCAATCCCAGACCTGCCTTGTGCAGCTGTGTGAGCCTAGGGAAGTCATCTAACTTCTGGGCCTCAGTTTTCTTACCTATAAAATTAGGATAATGATAAAAGAAACTGACCACATATGTTGTCTAGAAACTGACCACATATGAGTAAGTAGAGAGACCACATAGAAAAGTGCCTCCTACACAGAAGCCACAGGTAACTCTTAGCCATCATCCCTGTCACGACACTTCACTGGACATCTTATTGTTACTAAATTTTTAAAGAAACTAGGTAACTTGAGTTGATAATTTTTTCCCACCTAAGGAAGTGACATGTGTGATGGTCCCAAGAGATTGGTCCAAATCTATGATATTTATTTATAAAATGATGTTATAAATAAGAAGTGGAGGCAATGATCTGTCATCTAGTAGATGGGGCCCAGAGAACAGAGAGTTGATAGACTGGGTCCAGGGCAGAGTTAATGCTCATGATATGCCAATGCTGGATACATTTAGCAAAAAGATTGATTTTTGATATCTGTTTCAGGGAACTCAATATAAGCAAAAACATCAAATACTGATTTAATTAATCAAGACCAAATTATAGGTTAATTGGTAATATTTACTTATCCAGTGTGTTCTCTATCTATTTTGTTGCAAAAGATTTTTTGGCGGTTTATAGTAACTGTCACACCTATGTGCACCTCAGTATTGAAGGGAATATGGAGACAGTTCTATCCACAGCCATGTAACTGGCTAGTGCAAATTTCGCATGACATTCAGTTTCTGTTTCCTGCAGTGAAGGTATTACTAGAAGATGGGGCTTGATGTGCTTTCATTTTCTTTAAAAAAAAAAATCCTATTAAATTGTTCAGATAAGAGAAATTTTTGCCTGGAGTACATTCCAGAAGGTATTTTATTTGTTGTTCTTTATCAAATCATCTAAATACAATATATATGGGCTCGTTTTTTGTTTTTGTTTTTTTTTAAAGACAAGACTAATGCAAAGTAGAAAAACGTGTGAAAGGTTAAAAGAGGGTGAATATTGTAGCGTTTTGGTTTTCAAAATATTCCTTTAATAAGCACAGCGCCCACCACCTGCCACAGCTCTGTGCTGGGTATTAAGCACATAGAGATGAAAGACACAGTGTTCATTTCAAGGAGCTTTTATAGTTCGATGGAAAAAAATAGACACCAAATAATATATGATGATGTGTCTTATGGAAACACAATACCCAAGATGATAAGGAAGCATGTTAGTGGGGCACCGAACCAGATTTATGAGGAAAAATCAAGGCTGAGAACTGAGGGAAAGGAAGGTCAAGGGGAAACAGCAGCACACTGACAGGCAGAATAGAATAGAATTGGTTGCACCAGGCATCAGCAGAAGTAAACTCTGTGACCTAAAGGGACAAGACATGCTCTGAGAACATGTCAGCTGTGACCAGATACAGGAAGTGGGGTGAGGGAGAGAGTAGAGCTGATTAGTTTCAGCAGAGAGACAGCTTAGAGTTCAGAGCATGTGACCAGGGAACACCTGTCCCAACTTTAGTCTTTAGTCGGCAACCTTATGAAGTGCGTGTGGAGGGGTACCTTCCTCATAGAGGAAATGAAACAAACTGTGAACATTAAATAATGGATGTAGTGTCACTCAATGCTAGCTATTAATCACATTCACATTCCAGTCTTTTCTCCTAGGGATTGCGTTAGAGTCACCTGTAGGTGTGTTCAGAAGTCATCTCACATTTGCAGGCAGAGTTTAGGTTTGCTACTACAGAAAGCAATTGGCATCCATGGGCAGCATTTTATGTATTTAAGTATCAGAAGCTGACTTTATTTCTAAGTACTTGAGTTTGAAAAGATCTTTGCCTTTCAATTGAAGTGTTTAGTCTGTTATAATTTATGTAACTTGTCCTGTGATTAGGTTTAAAACTAAAGAGAGAAGAGTAGCAGGCTGTGCTCTTGTTTTTATTTTATTTTTATTTATTTTCTTTTGGATTCAGTAAGTCTTAGTATACTATTTCATCCCTTTTATCAATTCAGGTTTTTTTTTTACTCTTTTGTGTTTAAGGGACAGCTCTAGAGGTAATAATAGGCCTCCTTACCAATCACAGTCCTCATTTGATTTAATTTTATGCTATTTTATACATATCTATATAAAATATTTAAAATTTTAATGCAAAAACTTAAAATATATGCCTCCATTTACCTTCCTCTTGACAGTTTTACTTCTGTATGCAGTACAAGCTCAGAGTATATTAAGCAGCCTGCTTTTTTTTAAAAAAGTTGATTTTTTTCTCACAATCTACTACATGATTTTTTTTTTGGATTGAGGTAACATTGGTTTCTAGCACACACAAAAAAAGTCTGTTATCCCATTTTTACCTTTTCCAGTATTACTCCTTTGTGCAAATTCAGGTTTCCATCTGATACTATTTCACATCAACTTTTTTTAAAAAGCTTCATTTACTGGAACCTCCCTGGTAGAGCAAGGGTTAAAGCCTGGGTGCTATGAAGTGATCACCAGCCATGGCAACATGAGTTCTATCTCCCTGAGCTGACCCACATGGCACAGAAGACCTCTTCTGACTCACCTGCTGCTCACCTCAGCAGTGTATTTCAGTCAGTCCTGTTATTCTGTTCTCCACCACTCTGTCTCTATGAATTATCTCACTTCCCTTTCGTCATACCTCTGGCCTGCACCCCAGTTTTTATATGCATAAATAAAAAGAAA